TCTGGGAGTTGAAGTCCACTCATCTTAAAGTGGCCAAGTTTGGACAACACTGCTTTAGAGTTTTATAGAGTTGGGTGCACTGCTATCCCCTGAGAAGGAAATCAAGAAGAAGCAGTGAAAAGAGCAGCCATTCTTCTTCCTAATTCTGGTGGTGAGTTCTCTTGGGCAACCTTGCTCCTTAAAAGGAAACTTCTACTCAGTTAATGCCACTTATTCTGGCTGATTTTTCTGGGCTTGGAAACTAAACAGGATTTGGCCTGGTTGTACCTGGATGGAAGATCACCAAGGAATCCCACCCTATAGGAGAGCCTGGAACGTGAAAAAACATTCCAGAGGAAAGCAGCGACAAAGCCCTCCATGGATGTGATTCAAGGAAATCATTACTTTATGGATAGCTACTGTCCGTTAGTTGTGATTACCTGCTAATTCTGATTTATTGTAGAATATTATGTTTGATGTACTTCCCTCATGCCATTTCACTGGAATATTCCACTTGTAACTGAAAATTCAGAAAGGAGAGATTATTTTAAAGTATTTTTAGAATGAATCATGACAGCATTTGTGAAATATACTATAACAATATCTGTGATCTTGCTGGGTAGAGTATTTATATCAATATAATGAGTTATTTTGGGGTTGTTGTTTTTTTTGGTACTATATTCATGCAGATATTTTTCTTTATAATGCCATGGGTGACATCAATGTCTGTCATATCCAATAAAATCCAAGGAAGGAAGAACCAAGGAAGGAAGATGATTGCAAAATAAAATTTACACCCTTACTCTGCCTGTGCTTCAAAGGAGTCAGTGCTTCATTTCTTAAGCAGAAAGGCTATTAGTTTCTTATTGCTATTCCCAAAAGTTTCTCAACTTTCAAAAAAAGTTTTCTGTCTCTCCTATTTGGCCCAGCAGAGTGCAACGTAACATGCCATCTAAAATACTGAACTCTCTCTACAGCAGTGTTGTCCAAACTTGGCCACTTTAAGATGAGTGGACCATGCTGGCTGGGGAATTCTGG